TGAAATCATATCAAGTATCTTTTCTGACCAGAATGGTATAAAATTAGAATCAAGTACAAGACGAAAACCGGAAAATTCACAAATATGTGAAGATTAAACAACAAGCCACTGAACAACCAATAGGTCAAAAAGGAAATCAAAAGAGAAATCAAAAAATATCTTGAGACAAATGAAAATGGAAATACAATATACCAAAATTTATGGGATGCAGCAAAAGCAGTTCTAAGAGGGAAGTTTATAGCAAGAAAGACCTACATTAAGAAAAAAAGATCTCAAATAAACAAACCAACTTTATACCTCAAGTAACTAAAAGAGGAAAAAACTAAGCCCAAAGTTAATGGAAGGAAGGAAATAACAAAGATCTGAGTGGAAATAAATGAAATAGAAACTAAAAAGACAATAGAAAAGACCAATGAAACTATGATCTGATGTTTTGAAAAGGTAAACAAAATAGACGAAGCTTTAACTAGACTTACAAAGAAAAAAAGGGAGAGGTCTCAAAATTATAATGAAAGAGTAGACATTACAACTGATACCATACAAATACAAAGGATCATAAGAGACTACTATGAACAATTATATGCCAACAAATTGGACAACCTAGAAGAAATGGATAAATTCCTAGAAACATGCAACATATTAAGACTGAATCATGAAGAAATAAAAATCTAAACAGATCAATTACTAGCTAGGAGATTGAATCAACAATAAAAAACCTCCAAACAAATAAAAGCCTAGGACCAGATGGCTTTACTGGTGAATCTACCAAACATTTAAAAAACAATTAATACCAACCCTTCTCAAACTCTTCCAAGAAATAGAAGAGGAAGGAATAGTTCCAAACTCATTTTATGATGCCAGCATTACTCTGATAGCAAAACCAGACAAGAACACTATAAGAAAAGAAAATTAGGCCAATATCAAAATAATCAGGCCAATATCCCTGATGAACATAGATGCAATAATCCTCACCAAAATATTAGCACACCAAATTCAACAGTATACTAAAAGTATCATACACCATGATCAAGTGGGATTTATTCCAGGGATGCAAGGATGGTTCAACATGTGCAAATCGATAAAAGTGATACACAGCATTAACAAAATAAAGGATAAAAATCATACAATCATCTCAATATATGCAGAAAAAGCATTTGACAAAATTCAAAGTCCATTCATGATAAAAACTCTGAACAAACTAGGTACAGAGGGAACGTACCTCAACATAATAAAGACCATATATGACAAGTCCACAGCGAATGTCATACTCAAAGGTGAAAAGCTGAAAGCTTTTTCTCTAAGATCAGGAATAAGACAAGGAGACCCACTCTCACCACTTTTATTCAACATAGTCCTGGAAGTCCTCGCCAGAGCAAGAAAAAGAAATAAAAGGCAGGTCGACCCCTCTGTCTCCTGCGAGAGATACGTGTCGACCCGGAGCTCCGCTTAATAAAACCTCGTGTGTTTGCATCAAGAAAAAAAAAAAAAAAAAAAAGAAATAAAAGGCAGCCAAATTGGAAAGGAAGAAGTAAAACTGTCTCTATTTGCAGATGACATGATATATATAGAAAACCCTAAAGACTCTGCCAAAACACTGTTAGAACTAATGAGGAAATTCAGTAATGGTGCATGATACAAAATCAATATACAAAAATCAGTTGCATTTCTATATGCTAACAATGAAATAAAGAAACAAAGAAAACAATCTCATTTACAATTGCATCAAAAAGAATACCTACGAATAAACTTAACCAAGGAGGTAAAAGACCTGTACACTGAAAACTATAAGACATTGATGAAAGAAATTGAAGAAAACACAAACAAATAGAAAGATATTCCATGCTAATGGATTGGAAGAATTAATATTGTTAAAATGTCTATACTACCCAAAGCAATCTACAGATTCAATGCAATCTCTATCAAAATTCCAATGGCATTTTTCACAGAAATAGAAAAAACAATACTAAAATTTGTATGGAACCACAAAAGACTCCAAATAGCCAAGGCAATCTTAAGAACAAAGCTGGAGGCAGCATACTTCCTAATTTTGAACTACATTACAAAGCTATAGAAATAAAAACAGTATGGTCTTGGCATAAAAACAGACACATAGATCAATGGAACAGAAAAGAGAGCCCAGAAATAAACCCATGCATATATTATCAATTAATTTATGACAAAAGAGCCAAGAATATACAATGGATAAAAGATAGTCTCTTCAATAAATGGTGTTGGGAAAACTAGACAGGCACATACCAAAGATTGAGACTGGACCCCTATCTTACATCATATATAAAAATCAACTCAAAATTGAATAAAACTTAAATTTAAGACTTGAAATGATTAAATTCCTAAAAGAGAACATAGGGGGTAAGCTCCTTGACATCGGTCTTGGCAATAATTTTTTAGACTTGACACCAAAAGCAAAGGCAACAAAAGCAAAAATAAACAAGTGAAACTACATCAAACTAAAAAGCTTCTGCACAGCAAAGGAAACCATCAAGAAAACGAAAAGCAGCCTTTGGAATGGGAGAAAATATTTGCAAATCATGTATCTGGTAAAGGCTTAATATCTAAAATATATAAAGAACGCATATAACGGGCCAGCCCCGTGGCTTAGTGGTTAAGTGTGCACACTCCGCTGCTGGCAGCCTGGGGTTCAGATCCCAGGTGCGCACCGACGCACCGCTTCTCTGGCCATGCTGAGGCCGCGTTCCACATACAGCAACTAGAAGGATGTGCAACTACAACATATCTACTGGGGCTTTGGGGAAAAAGAAATAAATAAATAAAATTAAAAAAAAAAAGAACTCATATAACTCAATAGCAAAAAAATGAACAACTGGATTAAAAAATGGGCAGAGGAACTGAATAGACATTTTTCCAAAGAAGACATACAAATGGCCAAGAGGTGTTCAAGGTGTTCAAGATCACTAAACATCAGGGAAATGCAAATCAAAACCACAATGAAATATCACCTCAGGATGATATATCTCACCTCAGGATGAAATATCACCTCGTCAGGATGGCTAACATCAAAATGACAAAAATATTGGTGAGGACGTAGAGAAAAGAGAACCCTTGTTCATTGTTGGTGGTAATACAAATTGGTGCAGCCACTATGGAAAACAGTACAGACGTTCCTCAAAAAACTAAAAATAGAACTACCATATGATTCAGCAATCCCACTTCTGGGTATATATCAAAAGGAAATGAAAGCAGGATATCGAAGAGATATCTGCACTCCTATGTTCATTGCAGCATTATTCACAATAGCCAAGATATGGAAACAACCTAAGTGTCTCTCAATGGATGAATGGATAAAGAAGATGTGATACACACACACACACACACGTATATATCCCTATATTATTCATATATTCATATATGAATATTATTCATATATTCATATATGAATAATATTCATATATATATATTATTCAGCCATAAGAAAGAAGGAAATCCTGCCATTTGTGACAGCATGAATGGACCTTGAGGGCATTACGCTAAGTGAAATAAGGCAGACAGAGAAAGACAAATACTATATACTGCATAGTATCACTTACGTGTGGAATCTAAAAAAAAAAAAAGGTCAAACTCATAGAAGCAGAGAGCAGAAAAACAGTTGCCAGGGGCTGGAGGGTGGGGGAAATAGGGAGAGGTTGGTAAAAGAGTACAAACTTTCAGCTATAAGACGAATAAGGTCTGAGGATCTAAAGTATAATGTGGTGAGTATAGTTGATAACACTGTACTGTATAATTGAAATTTGCTAAGAGAGTAGAACCAATAAATAAGTAAAATAAATAAATAAATAATATGTGAGGTGATGGATGTGATAATTAACTACATGGGGGCATTCTTTCACAACATATATGCATATCAAATCATTGTGATGTACACTTTAAATATCTTACAATTTTATCTGTCAATTATGCCTCAGTAAAGCTGGAAAAAAAAAAAAAACCTAGGCAAAAACTTAACAAGAAATGTCCAAAAGTTATTTAAGGAAAACCATAAACCTTCCTGAACAATGAAAAAGATATGTCATGTTCTTTGATAGGAAGATTCAACATCATAAAGATGTTAAATCTCTCTAGGTTAATTTCTAAGTTTGAAACGATTCCAATAAAAATGCCATCAGGTTTCTTCTGCAGGTAGAAAATTGACTATAAAGTTTATTTGGAAAAACAAAAACGCAAGACCATCCAGGAAAATCCTGAAACAGAAAAAGAGGAAATAGGAGGAGAAAATAAAAAGGGAGGCTAGCCCTACCAGGTATTAAAACATAAAGCTTCTGTAACTTTACTGCTTTATATTGGCACATGGTTAGATAGTCAAACCAGTAGAATAGAATATAGCAATAGATCTAATTGAAAATGGAAATATAGTGTGTATAAATATAAGGGTAGCATCTCAAATACATTGGGGAGAGATAAGACATTTTAAAAAGTAGAGTTGGGATAACGGAATAGCTATACAAAAAAAAGTAACATTGGATTTAGTCCTTTCACCATACACTACAAAACATTCCAAATGGATCAGAGATAATATACAAATGAAACCATAAAAGCCCTGGGGGAGGGGCTGGCCTGGTGGCATAGCAGTTAAGTTTGGCATGCTCTGCTTCAGCAGCCCGGGGTCCGTGGGTTCAGATCCCAGGAGCAGACCTACACCACTCATCAAGCCATACTGTGGCGGTGACCCACACACAAAATAGAGGAAGATGGGCACAGATATTAGCTCAGGGCCACTCCTCCTCAAGCAAAAAGAGGAGGATTGGCAACAGGTGTTAGCTCAGGGCCAATCTTCCTCACCAAAAAAAAAAGAAGAAAAGAAAAGCCCTGTGGGGAGAAAAATGGTAAATTCCTCTATAGCACGGAAGTTAGGAAACTTTGATTCAAAATCCAGAAGTACTATGAGAAAACACTGAAAAATATGACTATATAAAATTTTTAAAAAGAAAATTTTGTGTCACATAAAAGTCTTATAGACAGGCGACCCGGAAGTTGTACTTGCGACCCTGTTTTCCCTCTCCCGCAATACCCTGCGCTCTTCTTTTCCAACCTGGACCCAGCAGAATGGCTCCTGCAAAGAAAGGTGGCGAGAAGAAGAAGGGCCGTTCTGCCATCAATGAGGCGGTGACCAGAGAATACACCATCAACATCCACAAGCGCATCCATGGAGCGGGCTTCAAGAAGCGTGCCCCTTGGGCACTCAAAGAGATCCAGAAGTTTGCCATGAAGGAGATGGGAACTCCAGATGTGCGAATTGACACCAGGCTCAACAAAGCTGTCTGGGCCAAAGGAATAAGGAATGTCCCATACCGTATCCACGTGCGGTTGTCCAGAAAACGTAATGAGGATGAAGATTCACCAAACAAGCTCTATACATTGGTTACTTATGTACCTGTCACCACTTTCAAAAATCTACAGACAGTCCATGTGGATGAGAACTAACTGCTGATTGTCTAATAAAGTCAAAAAAAAAAAGGCTTATAGAAAATGGTCAAGACATATAAGCCAACAGTTCACAGGAAAAGAAACACAAAGGCTCTTATATATACATGAAAATATGGGCAACCTCACTCACATTAAAAGAGATGCAAATAAAAATCATAGGGCCAGCCCTGTGGCGTGGCGGTTAAGTGCGCACGCTCCGCTGCTGGAGGCCCGGTTCGGATCCTGGGCACACACCAACGCTGCACTTGTCAGGCCATGCTGTGGTGGCGTCCCATATAACTTGGAGGAAGATGGGCACAGATGTTAGCCCAGGGCCAGTCTTCCTCAGCAAAAAGAGGAGGATTGGCATGGATGTTAGCTAAGGGCTGATCTTCCTCACAAAAAAAATAAAAATAAAATCATAGACTATTTTCTTTCTTATAAAATTGGTAAAAATCCAAGTATGATGATGTACTCTGTTACTGAGGCTGTGAGGAAAGATGCACTTTCATGTACTTCCTGTGGGAAGGCCAAAAAGTACTCCTCAGTGGAGGAGAATTTGGCACTATCTATGAAATTTACATATGTATTTACTGTTTAATTCAGCAATCCTACTTCTAGGGATCTATCCCAATAATACTTTGGCAGAAATACAAAATTATATATGCACATGGTTCTTCAATGTAACAGCATCTATAATAGCAAGACCAGAAACAACCCAATGTCCATCAGCTGGGGAATAGTTGAACAAACCATGGTACATTCACACAATGGAGTTCTATGGAGCTGTTATAAGGAATGAGGAAGATCTCTATATACTCTGGGAGTGACCTACAGGATATAATACTAAGTAAAAAAAAAAAAACAAGGTGAAGAACAGTGTGTGTGGTATGCAATATTTCTTCCAAGAAAAGGCAGGGGAATATGAATATAAATAAATACACACACATACAAATATGCTTATATTTTTTTTAAAAAAGAAGGAAAGAAGGAAGGGAGAGAAAGAAAGATAAACTGAAAACTAGGGACGGCCTGGTGGCGTAGTGGTTAAACACTCCGCTTTGGTGGCCCAGCATTCGCAGGCCACGGCGTGGCGGCACCCATATACAAAAATAGAGGAAGATGGGCACAGATGTTAACTCAGGGCTAATCTTCCTCAGCAAAAAAGAGGAAGATTGGCAACAGATGTTAGCTCAGGGCCACTCTTCCTCACACACACACACAAAAGATAAACTGAAAACCAATAAAAATGGTTATCTCCAGGGGGAGAGTGGGAATAGGGTGGAGAGGCTAGGAATGGAAGCTAGACTTCTCCAACATAGCAGTTTTTGCAGTTTCAACTTCAGAATTATGTAAATATTGTTTACATATAATCACATAATTACAAAAAATTAAATCAAAATGGGAAAAAACAAAGCAATCCCTACAAAGAAGCAAAATCAAACAAACGAGTTGGTGATTGAGCCTCACAGAGAGGGTTTATTTCCTGTGCCTCTAAATATGGTGATTGGACTCCACATCCCTAGTAGAGTGTATCCTAAGAACAAAATGAGCAGCAAAGGAATCTGTGTATCAGTAATCAGAGTATCTGTGTTTTCAGTAATCATAGTTAGTAAATATATATATATAGTTAGTACATATATATAGTTACTAACTATATATATATATGTACATATAGTTATGTACCAAAAATAGTAAATATATATATGTAAATACTATTTACATAGTTAGTAAATAAATATATATACATGTATTATATTATGTCACAATAAATAAATACAAGAAATAATAAATAATTATATTATTGTCAATGGGAATCAAAATTTTCAGTGTATGAGAAAAGAGATACAAATATAAAATCAACAAGGTTAAGCAAAAACCGTACAATGCTAAGCTTGAAATAAATTGAAAACCATTATTAACTCTTGATGTATTTTTCCCTTTAAAAATGTCTCATAGCTCTGTCCACTGAAAAATGCCAGGAAATAACAACCAACCCCAGTACCCAGCTTTCAGTCTTGAAATACCATTCCCCACTAAAAGGAACCAGGTCTAGGGCGGGAAACATGCAACATGAATCTGGGACACCCCGTTGTACCAGAGAACAAGGAAGTTATCGAAGACTACTACAGCTAAAGACTACTGGAGAGCTAACTTAAAGGGGTTCCCTCTGTTAAATTTATATTTTAAAAAACCCTCACCAGTCACTTTGGAGGATAGGCAACCAACTCATTATTCTGAAAACTGGTAGGGAAAGAATCAATCATTTATCTTACCTTTCTAGAACAAACAGTACTTCAGAGTAACCAACATAACAGATGTGAGAAAGTTCTTCTTTATAGAAGTATTCCAGCTAACAAACACAGAACGAATGGTAGAATTAGATTATTACCATTTTGGAGCCCTAATGAAAAAAATAGATCTAAGCAATGATTATCAATGGCTGCTAAAACCATGAGGTGAAAGGCTGATAGGGAACTTCACGCTAATGGTAAGATCAGGCTGACAACACCTAAACCTCTTGATTAATCTTTTCATCACAAAAAGAGACACCAGACGTAGTATGTACCTCTTGATGAGCTTCAACAGGAAGTGTCAAGCATTACCAAAGAAGCATACTTGCCCAAAATATACGGCCTTAACCTGATTGAGCTTCTAGATCTAATGACCAATTTACGGAAAATACAGGGGTTAAATGGCACCAGAGGAAGGCAATCAGCAAAATCCAGAGAATGGAAAATTCTACAGTTTAAATGACCCTATTCTTTCAAAGCATAAAAGGGAAGAAAAAAAGAGGGGTGGAAGAGTATAGATTAAGAGATTTATGAGGGGGCTGGCCCCGTGGCTTAGAGGTTAAGCGCACGCGCTCCGCTGCTGGCGGCCTGGGTTCGGATCCCAGGCACGCACCGATGCACCGCTTGCCCTGCCATGCTGAGGCCGGGTCCCACATACAGCAACTAGAAGGATGTGCAGCTATGACATACAACTATCTACTGGGGCTTTGGGGGGAAAATAAATAAATAAATAAAATTATAAAAAAAAAAGAGATTTATGAGGCACATCAACCAAATACAACGTGTTTGGATCTTGAATTGTAAGAAAACAATCAAGGAAATGTAAACATTGACTAGCTACTTAACAATATTAAGAAATTGTTATTTTAAGTGTGATGATATTGTAGTTATGATAAAAATAGAGTCCTTATCTTTTATACATACATAAGTTTTAAATGGATAAAATGTTTGTGCTTTGCTTTAAAACAACGGAAATAGGCTGGGGGAGCTGGGGAGGGTTACAGACTGGCCCTAGGTTGATAACTGTTGAAGCCAGGTGACCAGTACATTGGAGTTCATTCATCCATGATTTCTCTTTTTATAGGATTGAAATTTTCCACAATAAAAAGTTAGTAAGTGAATAGATAAATACCTTGTATTAGCTGACAACTGCCAAAGTTGTTACCTCCAGCCCAGACCCCTTTCCCAAACTTCAGACTCCTATATTCAACTGCTGACCTGACATCTCTACTGGTATGGCTAATATGCATCTTAAACTTAACATGTCCAAAACCAAGAACATTGCCTTTCCACCCAAACATTCTCCACCTACTGTCTTCCAATTCCAGTTAATGGCAACTCCATCTTTCCAGTTGCTCAGGCCAAAACCTAAGAGTCCTCCTTGACTTCCTTTTCTTACATTCAATCTGTCAGCAAATACTATGGTAATACCCTCAGAACATACCTAGAATCTGACCACCTCTCATTCCTTCCACTGTAGGGTTGCCAGATAAAATACAGGACGCCCAGTTAAATGTGAATTTCCCAAATATTGTATGGGACACACTTGTACTAAAAACATGTTTACCTGAAATTCAAAATTTAACTGAGTGTCCTGTATTTTTATTTGCTAAATTTGACAACCCTACTCCACTGCCACCAGCTTGGATTACTACCATGATCTCCAAACTGGTCTCCCTGATTTCACTCTTGTTCCTCTCTATAGTCCCTTCTCTACAAAGCAGTCAGAGTTACTCTAACCCTAAGTCAGATCATATTACCCCTTTGCTCAAACTCTCCTCTGCTCCTACCCCACTTAAAATACAAGCCGGAGTGCTCATGATTATCTTCAGCATTCTCTGCAATCTCCCCTTAGCCTTGCCTCTCTCCCATCTATACTCCATTCCATTCCTCTTATGGGGCTCCTTGCTATTGCTCTCCCTTGCTGGGAACACACCAGCTTCAGGTCCCTTTCCCATACTGTTCTCTCCATTTGGTTCACTCCTCCCTCAGATATCAGCATAACAGGCTACCTACCTCCTTCACATAGTCTCTCAAATGACTATTTATGTAAAATTATAACACCTCAACAATCACTGTCTATACCTTGCTTTTTCTCCACAGCACATCATCATTCTAATACACTATATATCAATTTATCTTGTTTTGTCTGTCTCAGCACGTACACCCACGCCTACTAGAATGTAATATTAAGCTCTTTAAGGATAAGAATTTTTGTCTATTTTTTTTTCTGCTATATCTCCAGAATCTAGAAATTGTGCCCGGCACATAATAGTGCTCAGAAAATATTTACCGTTACCTGAGTAAAAAAACTTAGGAACTATATTAGGACAATGGAGCAAAACTTTCCAAGGAGCCACAAATTTAAAAATATATATGGTGCTCTCTTTGGCACCACATATACTGAGATTGGAATTATACAGGGAGAATTAGCGCGGCTTCTGCGCAAGGATGACATGCAAATTCGCGAAGCATTCCATATTTTTGATGGACTTTGAGGGTATTATGCTAAGTGAAATAAGACAGAGAAAGTCAAATACTGTACGACTTCACTCATAAGTGGAAGATAAAAACAATAACAACAAACAAATACATAGATATAGAGATTGGATTGGTGGTTACCAGAGGGGAAGGGGGTAAGGGGGAAGGGCAAAAGGAGTAAAAGGGCACATGTATATGGTGACAGTAGGTAATTAGTCTTTGGGTGATGAACATGATGTAGTCCACACAGAAATCAAAATATAATGATGTA